TATATCCATGCACTCCTATCCAGAATTTTTACTTTTGCCTAAAAATTAGGTTTAGGTTCAAGTTAGCTATTTACTCACCAATTTTCATAAGAGTAACATAAAAAAAAAGATATTTTGAAACAAAATAATCTAGATATAAATGCATTATATTTCCAGGTTAAGTCGTTAACACACAGGATCACCTACAAAAGTTGTAGTATTTTCAAAATGAGACCAAAAACTTGAGTGCTTTCGATTAGTTGACTATTCTTCTTCAGGAGAATAAATGGTTATGTTTAATGAGTGTGATGAAATAAATAGGCTCAGATGTCAATGTCATATAAATCATGTGTTCAATGAGTTGGCCTTGAGAGCTAGCCAATCATAACCTAGAGTTGTTTGTGTCATGTTTAGTTTTGTGCCAAAGAGGGTATGTAAAGTTCATAAAAGACTTATGTTGGATAATAGTTATAAGAATTGTTTACTAATTTCTATAAAGATAAAATCAAAAATAAAATTAACAATAGAAATAAAATTAAAATTAAATAACAGCAAAAGGTGGTGGGAAATAGAGAAAATAATCATGTAGCTCAATATATAGGAAATCAAAACAATATATATATATATATAGAAAGAGAGAGAAATTTAAGGAAGAATGATACTAACAATGTACAGTAAGTTTAATCATGAATTTATTTTTGAAAAATCTTTTCAGAGACTTGTAAAGATCAACAACCTGGGATTGAGATTGATACCATTTGGCATTACAGTATTTAACAGTGCTATCCAATAAGCTTCTTTAATTTCACTGTTTCTGTTAGATGTAAAATTTGTCTCTTATACCCATAAGTTTAATGTCTTCAAGAGAGTGTCCAGGCATGTGAAAGTGTTCAGCAAATGGAAGTTCTTTGTTTGTGTTTATTGTTGATTTATGGTTATTAAAACATTCCTGTATAGTTAAACTACATATTGGAAATTGCATTTTCGACATTGGATTAAGTAAATAACATTTTTTGTAGAGCAGGTTATGGAATTAGGGATTTTGAACTGCTTTCGGTTGTTGCTATCAGAAAATGTGTCCATTTCCTATATGAAATTACAGGTTTGAAATCGCTTATTATTGCAAGGTTGACTTCCACCTGGTGTCGGCTTAAAGTTTCTTTTAGCATGAACTATGTGTGAATGCATAGTTTTATTCTTTCTGAAAGAAATGACAGGAACTTCTGTAAAATTGATTTTAATCAATCATTAAGTTGAAGTAGGTAAAAGTGTTTCTTTAGTATCCGGGGTAGATTTTTTAGTTTTGGGTGATAGGTAATAACCAGTGGAACATGAGAAGAATTGGTTTTAAGTAATTGTTTCAATACAGATGTACGTGGTATATTGTTAGCTTTCTCAACTTGTTGGGTGATAGTGTTTCGTTTACAACCTCTTTCAGTCATAGTCTATTTCAAAGAATTAATGTGATGGTCATAGTTCTTACTGTCAGAGCATATCTTCTTTAATCTAAGTGCTTGATTGAATGTGATATTGCGTTTGGTATGTCGAGGGTGACAACTTTGATTGTACAAGTATTGTGGTTTATCTGTTGGTTTTCGGTACAAATCAGTATGTAGAACACCATCTTTTAATGTTAGGTTTACATCCAAAAAACTTATTTGGGTAGTGGAGTAATCTAGAGTAAACTTTATAGAACTGTGGAAGGTGTTATTAAGTCTATAAAAGGACAATAACGAATCTTCATCTCCTATCCAAATGAAAAAAATTTCATCAATGTAGCATCTCCAAAACATTGGTTTGTCTGTGCAGTTTTCCAAATTTGTCTCTGTCTCTTAAAAATGTTGGCATAGTTTGGTGCCATCTTGGTGCCCATAGCTGTGCCTTTTGTTTGAACATAGAATTCATTATTAAATTCAAAACCGTTAAGTGTAAGTACTCATTCAGCTAAGTCTGTAATAATTTGAGTGTTGGGTTTGTCTAGTTTTTGCAGAGAAGGTTCTAGGGCTTTTAAGCCTTCACCATGGGGAATGTTTGTGTATAGAGAAGAAACATCCATAGTACAGAGAATAGCATTTGGAGGAAGTTTTCTGTTGCTGTTAATGTCAGAGATCATGTTTAGAAAATGTGCTGCGTCTTTATTGTACGACTTCAAAAGGGGAGGGGGGAATATATTTGATGTGGTGATCAACATAAGCAGTTAAGTTTTTAGTAGGCATAACGCAATAAGAAATAATAGGATGACCAAGATATTTGGGTTTCTGTATTTTTGGTAGCATGTAAAAGCAACCTGGAACTGGGTGTTTAGGTGAAAGGAACTGTAATGTTTCATGACTGTTGTGTTGGCTTTTCTGTAAACTACATAGCATATTTTCAATAATTTTAACAAATTGCGGTGTGGAGTCCAAATTTACCTTTTTATAGTGGTTTCTGTCATTAACTTGTCGGTAAGCTTCATTGATATAGTTGGTTTTATCTTGAATGACAATGGCACCACCCTTATCAGCTGGTTTAATAATTTCATTTTTGTGTTTCAGTGCAATTAGAGCAGAATGTTCCCTGTGGGAGAGATTGTTTCATACTTTTGAGTCAGATTTAATAGCCTGAATTACATCATTTTCAATTGCAGTAATAAAACTCTCTAGATGTGTTTCCCTGTTAGCTGGGGTGACCATAAGGATTTTTCATTAAACTGTGAGTCAAAATTATTTCTTTCAGTGGTTTGTTTGTGAAAAAATTCTTGAAGTCTTAATCCGATTGCAAATTCTTGGAGGTCAGAAATGACTTCAAAACTATTTATGTTTTTAGGGGTAGGAGAAAACTTAAGAACTTTACTAAATAGTTTGTGTTGAGCTTCAGTTAGTGTATTAGAGGACAGATTGACAACACTAGAAGTGTTCTTGGATTTGTGTCGATCAGATGGAGAAGTGACTATGTTAGTGTAATCAGAAGTAGGATCTAGTTAGGAGAGAGCTCAATGTACATGTTTACATTGTTGAAGTTATTAACCAGCAGCTTACAGATGGCACTAGTATGAATTTGTTTAAAGTTAATATTTTGTTCTAAACAGAAATTGTGGCTTGGATAGGAGAAACCTTTGTCCTTATGTGAAAGATCATGATGCATTATATTTCATCATTATCACACATTACATCAAGATAAAAATAAAATATCTTGTATGTCACAGTAATCAATTTTATACTGTCTTTGGTATATAATTTATATATAATATAATTTAGTATCTTCAAGCATCTATTCACTCTATAATGTTTTAACAAAAATGAAAATGTCCTACATGCTGTACCTGATCTTTGACCTCCTTTAAAACCCTAGGGAAAGCATTTCTTGTCAAGGCACTTTATTTCTGATCTTTCTGTATTTTGTTTTACCATAAAAGTATAAACATTTTAGGCCAATTCCAATATTTACTACAGAATGCTCACAGTAAGCATATTGCATAAATCCTTTCTATAAGTAAGGCAAGTGGCTGATAGCACCAGTAAAATTTTTTTTTATTTTTTATTTTTGACTAAAGGGAAAGCAAATAGCTGGCAGCATCTGCCACCAAGATTTTATTTCTTCTTGAACTTCTGACTAGAGAGAAAGGAACAGGATGGCAGTATTAACAGTCAACTTTTCATGGTTTGAAGATCACCATACCCATTGAATAACTGGACAGTCAATTAATTGATTAACAAATAAAACTAATCACCCAGTTCTAAATTGGTATTTTCTATGACTTTTTATGTCCTTAGTAAGTCAATTAGGATTAGGTTTAATCTTCCCTATTAGCCATTTCTTCTTTTTTTTTTTTTCAGGAACTTGTCTATCTTGAATTAAAGCAACTTATTTTTAAAATTTCACAAATATGTCTACTTTACCTTTTATTTTTAAACTCATTATCACAATTCACTAAAAATAAATCTTGTCTTATGGCATTAAGGTTTCTGAAAATGTGACAAAACATCAAGCATAATTATACAACAATCATTCCTTCCCAAATATTCCTCAATACAACTCTTGTAATCACATACAGTCATGTTAAAAATAAATATAAAATAGCATCTTTCTTGTTGGTTCCTTAGCCATTTTGTACAGAACACCATCCAAAATTATTAAGAAAAATCTCTCTCTCCCTCACTACGTGACTCAATACAATCCCTATCAGTGTCTCTAAAATTTGTCACCTATGATTATTGCATAAATATTCATTTTAGTAAACAACTTTTTATTGATGCCATTGGAAATAAACAAATTCAAACAATAACTGGGATAATGAAAAGTTTGAAAAAAAGAAAACTTAGAGTATAATAATTTAAATAATAGTTTTAAAGATAAGAAGCCCATCAGATTTTAGGAAAAACAATATAGGATCAAAAATAATCCTCAATTGAGCTGTAAGGCATACCTAACTAAATATATGGAAATGGGGAAGTGAAACCACAGCTTCCACTTGTTTGGTTACCATAATAATCAGCTAGCTAGAATCACACCAGTGCAATTTTGCCTACAGCTTCATTAGAAATACTATCCACAAGTGGTTGCTTATTAGAGGTAATAATAAAATACAAATCATGGAAATTATGGATGTGTTTCTGCACAATTCTTCTAAATTTTTCATAATTTACACAAATGTTGGGCTTACCAGCTTCTAACACTTCAGCAGCTCTCCACATTTAAATTATAACTATTAATAATAAAATACTTTTTTTTTTTAGTATATGGTGGTTTTCAGCAGTGAACTTTGTCACTCCAGGTACTTGTGGCATAGATACACCAGTTACCAAACAAAATAAGAAAAGTACTAAAATTCACCTGAATTATGTGTACATTAATCCCTTGGTGTAAGCACAAACACTGAGAGATTACAAATGAAGGGCCAGCATATCACTAGGTTTTCTTTAGAAATGTAAAGGTAGTCAAATATGTGATATGAAGGTCTCTCTTATTTCAATTTCAATAAAGGGTGAATAGGCACTTGATAATTGAAGTTGCTAATACTACTTCTACTTTTAAAGGGGTGACAAGAGTTGCCATGGCAATTACAGACTAGTTAGCGTTAGCTGGAGGATCCGAGAAACTTTGAAAAACCATTTTAATGAAATACAGTATCATGAAAGAAACCCAACATGGATTCACCAAAAAGAAATGTCTCCTACATGTAAGTAGTCTTTTATCTTTTAAAGGTGTTACTTGTTATCTAGAAATTGAAAGTATGTTGTTTTCATGCATCTAGATTTACCAAATGTTTTGGGTAAGATGCTATAAATGAAATTACCTAAAATAATTACCCAACTAAGAATTGGGGAAAAATTAGTTTAAATTCAGTAGATTGTAAAGTGGTTCAATGAGAGAAAGTCAAAGACTGTTATTCATAGTAGCTAGTCAAATTGGACCTTTGTTACTAATGGTGGATCAGATTGGTCATTGTACTGTACTTTAGGCATTTGCTCTTTTGAATTTACATTAATGCTATTGATAGACATAACTGTAGTTATATTTTTTGTTAACAAGAATGTTAATTTTTGCTGTTAACAAAAATAAAATAAAGTAGACTTCCATTTGACATAGACCCTTTGAAAACAAGCAACACTCATGAAAAATAGGGTACAAACTTTCTTTTTTAGAGGACATTAAAAAAAAAAAGAACCTCCTCCTTCCTTTTTTCAAAAACTCCAGATGTTAAACATGTTTTGTTCTTTTACTTGCACTTACAGCTAAGTGCAAGGTAATACATTTTGGAATATCATAATTTGGATCATACATTTCATAAAGAGTTGAATCCACTCAATAATGTTACTGAAGAAAAAGATCTTTGAACAGTGGTGAATAAGTTACTCAAGCTATTATGGCAGTGTTCTGTTGCTAGAAGTTAACAGAATTTTATGGTGTATTTCTAAACATACTGATATTGATAAAAAGTCAAAAGAGGTGATTATTTCTTTATTATAAAAAAATTCCTAGCTATGCCTCACATAGGATACTAGATATGTAATGTTTTGGTATACATATCTAAGAAAGGATACAGACTTATTGAAAAGGGTTCAAACGAGAGCTAACAAGATAAATGGGTTTTCTTACAAGTTACAGAGATCTGATTTACTACTAAGAAAACAAGGATATGAGGTTATTTTATTGAAGTTTACAAAATTATCTGGTCTACTATTATATGAATAGTAATGAGTATACTGTATTCTTACCAGTTACTGGCTCTCCTCTTCTGTACTTCAGTCCACTTGCCACAATTATCTTGTAAGGGTTTGCCCAGTTAGCTGGTTTTAGTTCATTACTCACATTAGGCCTAGTTGGAATCATACTTTCACATTCTTCTTTAACAAAGCCATAATTAACTTCTAAAGAATCAACTGTTAAATTAAAAAATATGAAAAACACGTATAAATAATGAACCAGGTTAATTCTTTTCATGTTAATAATTACAAGCCGCTTACTCTCCAACATTGCAATTTCTATAATACCGCACACATTACATCGGCAGTCATGCAATTGTGTACTAACAGTCAGGTAAGTTTATCAACTTATTTTGTTCAGTGCTTAACCTTCTAGTAGCACCTTCCATTACTTCGAGTTGAGCATACATAATAAGTAGTGAAAATAAAGTTTTAAGCATTTAATATAGAAAATCAAAACTGACAATAGGCTCAAAGTCAAAGTTATTCAGATTTGGTGCCTAAGTTTTTTTAACCTAGTGTCTTACAAAACATCCGTTAATTAATTTCGCAAGTTCCTTTTTCATTTCCTGCAGATTCCACGGCATCTCTTTACTATAAACAGTTTAAGCTGAAATGCATTGAGCAACACCTAACAAAAACAACACAACTTCATTTCACGGGAAATGACATATTAGAATTTAGAGTTATATATAGTGGTGTTGGAACGCAAGGGAGACTGCGTTCCCTTACTTTTTTTTAGCTGGAATGCCGTTTCCTCAATAGTTTTCCCACCCTTAGAATAAAGAACCATTAACCCTTTCATCCAAGTTGTAGGCAAATTATTAAAGTATAATAAAAGAAAATGTGTAGTTCTGTTAGTATTGATTACAAAGCTCCAAACAACTTATGGGCAGAGCTTATACTTTTCACGCTTATCTTTGTAGTTATTATATTGTTACGACAGCGGAGGTCACGTGACTCTGTAAACACGTCATGCACTTCTAAAAAGTTCATGAAACCTCAAGAGGTTACTAGATTCGATATTCTTGTACATATAAGACGGTCAAGATGTGACGGCAATAATGGTAAGTGAACTGCGGACAGAGAGAGGGTGTTGTTGAGTCGAGGACGTGAGACGTTCGTTGTGAATTATAGCGTTTGTTATAGCGCGTTTGTTGAAATCAAGTGTATTGCAAATTTGTATTCAGAAAGAATAAACCAGTTTTATTTAAGAAAGGACTTGTTTCGGTAAAGTTTCTTCGGAAAGAATTTTTACGGAAAATTAACTAAAGACTGGAGGCATAACAAATTGGTGTCAGAGAGTGGGACTGAAAAGAAAAAAAATGGAAACGAGAAGCGGCAAATCAAACTACAGCATAGCAGTTTTGATGGCACCAATACAAGAACAGCCAAAAAAAAAAGAAGAAGAAGAAGATGAAGGAGAAAATATGCAAGAAAAGAAACAAGAAGAGAGACAACAGCAGTTGCAAGAAAACCTGCAACAGTGGCAGCTCGAACAACAAAATAAAGAAGAAGAGAGATTACAACAGTTGTTGGAGGAAAAAGAAAAGAAACAAGAAGAGACATTACAGCAGTTGTTGGAGGAAAAAGAAAAGAAACAAGAAGAACGAGAAAATAAACAAGAAGAGAGATTACAGCAGTGGTTGGAGAAAAAAGAAACAAACTAGAAGAACGAGAAAGAAACAAGAAGAGAAATTACAGCAGTGGTTGGAGAAAAAAGAAACAAACTAGAAGAACGAGAAAGAAACAAGAAGAGAAATT